TCCAGACACCAGTCACAGAGATCACGTATGATACAGACACCGGTCACAGAGATCACGTATGATCCGGTGCTAACGGTCCTGGAGCTCTGGGAGGCAATTAAAAAATTTGAGTACCTGGCCAGTGGCTGAGGATTTGGATTTTTCTTTGCGACCCCCCGACACTAAGAGTCCCCGATAGAGATCACGTATGATCCAGACACCGGTCACATCCCACACCACATATCCCCTCCCCCCCTCATATCCCACACCACATATCCCACACCACATATTCCCTCTCCCTCATATCCCACACCACATACTTAACCCTCTTCACATTATACACCCTACACACTCCCCTCCCCCCTTATAGCCTTCATTCTCTACCTCCGTTTCACCGTGATAAACTTTCCCTATACACCCCTCACCCCATTCTCCTCCATGTACCCGTCACCCTCCCCCTCTGCCGACCCCCGGCTCCGTTCTCACCCGTCCAGCCTGAGGTGTCACACACTTCCACAGTCACAGCCGAACACGCTGACAGCTTCAGTCACACAGGCTCTCCACTCATTGGCCTAGGCTGGTGTAGTGGGCGGTGCGCAGGACTGGGTAAGCACGTTTGGTTGAGGTGTGCGTCAACGGTCACCGCAGAGCGCCCCGTCATGTGCGTAGCTTTAACCAATAACATGCCGGCATTGCTGTCACTTCTGAACCCAGACTCCGCCCCCGGGCGTCAATGCGAATGACGTCTCCATGGTGACGGACGGAGGCCGGGAGGGAGCTAGGCTGCAGCGGAGGATTTTAAACTGACCGAGGAGCCGTCTGTGGTGAGGAGGAGGTTACATATACCGGGGTGGAGGTGAGCGGGGTCCTGTACGGGGCACGTTATGGGACAATCTGGTGATCATGCGACATTATGTCAATGTTGAGCCCAGTGTTGCGTCAGGCTGACTTCCGGTTCTGGTGACCCCAATATCTGGGACAGGAAGTGAGGTGACCCTGCAGGGACACAGACAGTAATGACCTGACAAATGTTATAATTTTTTAGCCCCTGAACTGGAAAAACATTTTGACCAGCGCTCCCCTTTAAAGTATGTGTTCCTCATGGAGGATGGAGCGCCGGGTGTGCTGAATTCACCCCACAGTCCTCCTCCCAGACCCCTCACTAACCCACTGATCCATTCCGTGCTGGTAGTACTTCCGGGTATGGGGGGTCATGTGACTCGGGTCATGTCGGGGGAGATCTGTATTTCTGTCTTCCTATAAACATCTCTCATTTCAGGTCTGTCCTTGGAGGAGTCATGTCCGTCCTCTCACTCGCTGCGCGCTCGGCTCCAGGTACAGTCTGTTTCCTCCGGGGTGTTGTATTGTGCGGGAAGAGGAGTGAGACTGCTGGGAGCGTCCTTTCCTCTCCCCTTGTACAGCTGTGTGAGGGGGAAGGGAAGGTGTGAGGGGAAAAAAAGGGAACCTGTCCCTCTAACCAGTATGCACAGATTGGGTTCACTTTAACAGGTAACACCGGGGCAGCAGAATCGGATAGAAAGACCCGTGTAGGCGGAGTCAGGGCCCGGGGCCCAGTGCGGTCCATGCACTTCCATCTGATTTTCAATTCCTCACGTACTTGGGTGGAGCCATATTGTGTCCCCTGTACCGTGTGGCCCGTACCTCGTGTCTTGTACCGTGTGGCCCGTACCTCGTGTCTTGTACCGTGTGGCCCGTACCGCGTGTCTTGTACCTTGTGCCCCGTACCGCGTGTCTTGTACCGTGTGCCCCGTACCGCGTGTCTTGTACCGTGTGCCCCGTACCGCGTGTCTTGTACCGTGTGCCCCGTACCGCGTGTCTTGTACCGTGTGCCCCGTACCGCGTGTCTTGTACCGTGTGCCCCGTACCGCGTGTCTTGTACCGTGTGCCCCGTACCGCGTGTCTTGTACCGTGTGCCCCGTACCGCGTGTCTTGTACCGTGTGCCCCGTACCGCGTGTCTTGTACCGTGTGCCCCGTACCGCGTGTCTTGTACCGTGTGCCCCGTACCGCGTGTCTTGTACCGTGTGCCCCGTACCGCGTGTCTTGTACCGTGTGCCCCGTACCGCGTGTCTTGTACCGTGTGCCCCGTACCGCGTGTCTTGTACCGTGTGCCCCGTACCGCGTGTCTTGTACCGTGTGCCCCGTACCGCGTGTCTTGTACCGTGTGCCCCGTACCGCGTGTCTTGTACCGTGTGCCCCGTACCGCGTGTCTTGTACCGTGTGCCCCGTACCGCGTGTCTTGTACCGTGTGCCCCGTACCGCGTGTCTTGTACCGTGTGCCCCGTACCGCGTGTCTTGTACCGTGTGCCCCGTACCGCGTGTCTTGTACCGTGTGCCCCGTACCGCGTGTCTTGTACCGTGTGCCCCGTACCGCGTGTCTTGTACCGTGTGCCCCGTACCGCGTGTCTTGTACCGTGTGCCCCGTACCGCGTGTCTTGTACCGTGTGCCCCGTACCGCGTGTCTTGTACCGTGTGCCCCGTACCGCGTGTCTTGTACCGTGTGCCCCGTACCGCGTGTCTTGTACCGTGTGCCCCGTACCGCGTGTCTTGTACCGTGTGCCCCGTACCTCGTGTCTTGTACCGTGTGCCCCGTACCTCGTGTCTTGTACCGTGTGCCCCGTACCTCGTGTCTTGTACCGTGTCCCCTATCCCGCAGTGTGCCCCGTACCTCGTGTCTTGTACCGTGTCCCCTATCCTGCAGCGTGCCTCGTGTCACCTATCCCACTTGCCCCGTACCACGTGTCCCGTACCTCGTGTCCCCTATCAGCGTGCCCCGTACCGCGTGTCCCGTGTTCACCTGTCCTGTGTATGAGATTCAGTTATTTTATTTCCTCATTTTATCTCTTTCAGGTGATGAGGAGGAGACGTCCGAGGTGAGTTATGAAGCAGCATTTCCTGTTATCAGCCATTGCCCCCGTGTGCGTCCGCCGGCAGCCTTTGTGCGTTCAGGATTTCCGTGACCCGGCATACAAAGGGTGCGCTGTCAGCTGACAGTCATGTGACAATTATCGGCTCCTCTGTCGTTGCAGATTGAGATCTCTGAGTGGGAAAAAATCAATAAACTTCTGAAGCGTCATGGCTGCGGCGCGGTGAACGTCTCTGCCAGGGGCGGCTTCTCAG